TAATGATGTCTTAGCAAATAATCACATTGCATTCAGAGAAGCAAATGAAGGTGTCTTTTTGTTACATGGCTGCAAACGGCCAATCAAATAGCTCTATCGTCTTGTATTTCTATCACCCAAACAAAAAGCATTGAGCAGAGACAAGATAAAAGCCTCCAGTGTACTGAGAAATCAAAACTCACTTAAGATGTCAATAGTGTCACAGCCAAAAGATGCCTGCATTGGAAAACAAATCCATATCAATACTTTACCAATGAGTTAATTTCATTAAGGCATTCAATGCCATTCACTGATGGGATAGCAAATTGTGTGCAAACAAAGCAAAGGTCAAAAATGTATTGTTGAACTGAGTGACGGATTGGATCTGGAGGAGTGCAGTGTGAGAAGCTGTCAAACTCTGTCTGGCCATCCGAGTCACTTACAACCACCTCAAAGAAATCAACCACAATGCTAAATTCATTAAAGTTTATTTTACAGCCCTTTGACATTTTCACAGTCTTTAAAGTACCTGCCCTCTCTCGCTCATGCTCGCGTGTGATCTACTTGTGCTCCTCTCTGGATCTGTTTATGTTACCATTTCTTTAAGCGGCTCTGAGTGGAAATTGCTTTTTGGGGGAGACATTTATGACCCCATTCAAAGGCTGGCATTTCAAACACAGGAAGGAAGGAAATGAGAAGTGCTATACAGTATCCATAGGCCCATTTAAAACCCCTGCCACCTTTCTAACAAAAGAGTTTAAACCTAATCAAAACATTAGATTTTATGAGAGAATCGATGCTTTGTCTAAGTAAAAACTAGCTAAAAGACTCATGCTTAAAATAGGATGTGACTCATCCTAGCATTCTTTTTATTATTTCCTCCAAAACCCATGAAACATACATAAAATATATTAAGCTTTCAAACTCGCCTCCCAAGCAGAGCGCTGAAGAAGTTTTAGCCCACAGAGAAAGCACTCGGCCCAGCCATGATGCTGTATGTGGCACAGGGGAAGGGGGAAGTGGGCTTTCCTCCACAAGGGTGCTCAGGGTTAAGGCCTGGTAGTCTGTTAGATGATAGGTCAAGGAGACACACCAGAGCACTTCTTACTTTTCTTCTTGCATAATAAAATTTCAACAGTTTTTTTGCAGTTCCACCTGAAGATTATGCAATAGACTCTGGTCCTGAAATCAGTGTTCAAAAGTAACAACAGACACCATAAACTAGTTGTGCGATTAAAATGTTAACATGAACTTAAGTGCCAACAAATCAAGAACATAGATTATCCCAGTTCAGACTGACCAAGGAATCAAAACAAGGCACCTTAAATGTCCCTGTCTACTGGTCTATTTGACAATGATTTATGTTTACTGAACAACAAAACAAGCAAAAGCCCTGTTGTGAGCTGAATGAATAATTTAAATGTTAAATCTCCTAATTTTGTCCAGTGCAGGACTTTTTTGGTTCGTCTTACCATTGCTAACTCTAAGAGACGAGACAGTCCAAGTAACTTCAAAACAGTGCTGATTTATTCCAAGAACACAGGTAAAATTAACATTACACGCTCAGGTATCTTGCACCTCCAAACTGCTCCCAGGCAGATGTAAGATGAAAGACCCTGAACCCACCAGGCCTGTACATTATATCCCCTTGGTTGGGCTAGCCCCATACTACACAGAAACATCAACCGAGACGTCTCTGTTACCAGCTTTGCAGCTGGTCATAGCAGTAGTAACATGTCGTGACTTAAACATAAGAACATATTATGGCTAAGGCTACAGTTCTACACGTCATAATAATAATATTAAACATCCTGTCTGCTGACAGTCATCAACTCTTCTCTCTAGTTATCCTTGACCAGATGTACCCTGTAGAAACTCATAAGCATGACTAAGCATTTAACAGTCTAACTAGACATCCTATCTCCACTAAACATTTCTAATACATAAAGTATCTATCCAATTTCTATCTGACTAAAAATACCTAACAACAGACACTTGCCAACACTTTTCATAACTGAGCAATCATTTGAGCAACTTTTACAAGCAAAAATAACAAAAATTCAGCAATTCCTGCTTCTGAAATATGAAGATGTGCAGCTCTTCTTTGTGAATATGTCGTTAAAAGTCTTGTTTAGCGATTGTTAGACAAAAAAATATAAGATGCACGCATAAATTTATGGTAATTGCTCTGTGTTTTTTTTTAGACTGAAAATGATGAATGAATATAATCCCCATCTGTAATGACACACTTTACAGTAGGTGCAGTGTTTCCTTATAAATAAGGCCTAATAATAAAGTCATCAAACTGACCAATCATAAATAAGAGGGAGGAGAAGCCTAAGCTGCAAGCTGTGAAAAGTGAAAAAACAAATTTACATTTCCTTTGACAGTAACACTGAAGTGTAGATCAAAGTAAAGCACACTGTCCTTGGCTGCTGGCTGGGAGGATGATATAAGTCCTCCTTTAATTAACACTTATCGGAGTGATTTGTGTGTCATATGTAAATGTGGTCTTCTGGTGTGTATTTAACTCTGAGTTTGTGAGACGATTTATATGCATATAATTTTCATGCTCTTCAGTCAAATCTAATTTTTTATTTAATTATCTTTCTTTTTATGTCTCTCCTTCTTCTGGACCATGTCATCAAATTTCAAAATACCCTGTCAAAATTTCTTTACTACTAATATGACAGACATTCATATCTATGGAGACAATCCTGACAAAATCAAATTCAAAGACAGTGGTAATCAACCAGTCGCACTTATGGGCTGGCCACGAGAGGCCCTGCAGTTGTGTGTGTGTGTGAGCGAGTGTGTGTGTAGTTCCCGTCTGCCCCGAGGATTTGCTGTTTCAGCAGAGAAGGAATCAGTCCTGTGCCTCTGCCATGCAGGAAAGTCAGAGTAAGGAAATTCCTGAGCTTCACAGTGGCAATCAGGCAGTTAAGGACCTGCCAGTGAGAACGGAGCTGTGTGTCAGTCACTTTCATGGCTTACCCACACTTCTTTGGCATAAAAAGAGGCTTTCTCATTCACTCACCCCAACAACCCAGTGAATTCCCCTTACTTGAAAGCTGTTAGAGTGGGCCTACTCTATATTTACAACTGCTACATCTGAAAGCTTCACTACAGAAGCAGTGTTACACCGTTGTAGGTAAAACAGCAAGTATACATATGGTCCAAAAATGAATTTCAGTATACCCAATATACACGGTAGACCATTGTGGCATTTTATCCAGACTTCCACAAGGACAGGTGGCAGTGATGGCCTTGCTAGTTCAGGCAGAAACAAGGAAAACACAAGAGTGAAGTAGGGATGACGTACTGTTGTAGGCCAACCCGGAAGTTTGCGTCAACCTGGTTACCTCGGCAAAAAGACAATGGGATCTTTTTCACGAGCTTTTGGAAAATGAGTTCTGTGACAAACAATGGTTCATGACACATTTTGATCAACAAGATAACTGTCACAAGTAAGCACCACTTTATGATTTCTGAAGTCCAAATACAATCGCCATAAGTAAAAAGCTACTGTTAGGCTATGAACGAACTACACCACGGTCCCATGACTTCAACGTCACCACCCCGGCTTCCAACTTGTAATTTGATTTTTAGCCTTACCACCTCTGCAAAATCCTTGACTTGATCTAGCTAGTTATTGGGTCAGTTACTTAGAATAATAATAATAATAATACTTTATTTGTATAGCACTTTACAACTCTGGAGGAGCCCAGAAGAACATATATTAGGAGTATAAAAAGCTACATAAGCAACAAAACCAAGAACAAAATAAAAGCACACAATATAATATCAAACGCTAATGGGAGACTTCCATATCAAAGTATAAATGTAAGACAACAGCCATCGACATGATGCCACTGGAGTCCGTTAGACACAGAAAGCCTGTCTAAAGAGATGAGTTTTTAGTTTTGACTTAAAAGACGATAGCTCAGTTATGGACCGTAACTCCGGCGGTAAGGAGTTCCAGAGCCTAGGGCCTTACACGGCAAACAAACGATCACCCCATTTTTTTTTTTTTATATCTTGTCCGCGGGACAACCAAGGACAGGTGCTCTGAGGAGTGTAGAGCCCTAAGCGGAGTACGAATGGACAACAGGTCAGACAGGTATGGTGGAGTGAGGCCATTAATAGACTTAAATACAAATCATAATACCTTGAAATCAACTCTGAACTGCACTGGCAACCAGTGTAGCGAGTGAAGGACAGGGGTGATGTGGGCATACTTCAGGAGTATTTGACAGTAGACAAGCAGTAGCATTTTGTACCAATTGAAGCTTCCAAAGGAGAGATTGGTTGATTCCTATATAAAGGGCATTGCAGTAATCAAGACGTGAAGTGATGAAAGCATGAATGTTTTTTTCTAAATCCACATGCGACAGGAAGGGCTTCACCTTGGCTAAAAGCCTCAGGTGACAGAAGCTGGTTCTGACCACAGATCTGATGTTTGTCAAATCTGAGGCTACTGTCAAATAATACTCCTAGGTTTTTCACAGTATCAGTAAATAATGGGGCTGCGGCGCCTAAATTAGATACAACAGTGGAGGAGTCAGGACTTAAAACGATGTATTCAGTCTTACTTTCATTTAAGTGGAGGAAATTCTGTGATAGCCAATATTAAATATCACGAAGGCAGTTATGCAACGGGATGAGGGCATTCGAATCACATTGGATCAACATTGGATAGAATAGTTTGCAAGTGCATGAGTTTAAACATAACAAGCCAGTAAAAGGCTAAATCAAATCAAATCAAATGTATTAATATAACACTTTAAAAACAACATCCAGCTGACCAAAGTACTTTACATGGCAGAATAAAATGACTAAAATAGAGTAAATAAGATCAGTGCAAATAAAAATAAAACAGCACAATAACACAGACACACAGTTAACATACGTTCAATAAATTAAAATTAAAAGGAATGCATCAGGGCTAGTTACGTCACCGTATACGACGATGACGTTTAAAATCCCAGACAGCGTCTGTAGTCTCATTTAGCCACTTGTTAGCAACCGCATTTTTAAAAACGCGTACAAACACAAAAAAATCACAAGTGGGGTATTTTCTAACGTACTTTATGTCGAGGAACAAAACGTGAAAATGTATCGCCCTTGTGCTAACCACGGCCCTACTTTCAGGTATCTAAACAAACACACATTCAAAAAACAAACAAACAAAAACTTCAGGGCGGAGGAACCGGAACCGGAAAACCGGAGGTTTACCCCGCTACCGTAAACCTAGTGCAGCGTGTCGTAAAACCGACTTGTAACAGTGTGGATGGATAAGTCAAACCCTATTGTCACCGCGGTGGATTTCACATTTGGAAATATGTGATAGTATCACTAATCTGGCTGCGTGTTCACACAGACCGGTACCGTAACTCAGCGATGGACTCCATGTAGGCTTTTAGCAGCCAGAAGATGGTCTCCAACAAAACAAGCTCGGAAATGGCAACATACAACGCCGAAGGTAAAGGAACATGGTTCATAACGAGATCACCAACTAGACCATATATCTGCAGTATTGCAGTTGTCTTGTTGTCAGTTGTATACGCACAACATACAAGTTCCCATTGAAATCAGGTTTTGTTTTTGTCTTCTGAAGCCGCTGCTGGACACTCTGTTGTGGTGGAGGTGAGCCCAGACATCCATATCTGTGGCTTATGCAAGCAGCAGTACAATAATTTTGAGGTATTCCTTGCCCACAAGCAAAATGGATGTTCCCTACCTGCCTCTGGCACATCAGCCGTCACTGCAACAGCCTCTATTACGGGTAAAAATACTGTGTAGTCAGTAGTTTGCCTGCAGGCTTGATTCACAGTATCTCTGTCTCATGCAATCAAAACCCTTTTCTTCTTGTCCACCTCAGATTCCAGCACCGGATTTGTATTCGAGGAAGCCTACCAGACCTGCGTTATGAGAGGTGTCAGAAAGCTCCTGACAAAAGCACAGAAAACACCTTCCAAAAAATTAAAATCTGCCCTGGCTTCAAAGAGACACAGCTGCTGTTTCTCAGGTTGGTGTTTGTTTATGGCTCTAACACATTCCTACTTTTCAGCTGCCAAGCAAGAAGAACTGTAGTCACTTCCAGCCATATCTCAAGTTATTAGCTCTTATGTATTTAGAATGAACTCTCCAAAAGTGCATATGCCTACTCACCTTCTATTAGCTCAGTTTCTCTTGATCCTCAGGTTGCAATTTTAAAACACAGTATGGCCAAAAAGACATGGAGCGGCATCTGAAAACCCACACTGGTATGTCAGTGTCCTGCACATGTCATACTCTGTTGGTAGAGTCCTTAAAAGATATTCACACAAGTTGTTTTTCCGTCCACCATTCAGGTGAGAAGCCGTTTGAATGTGAGCTGTGCCACAAGCGCTTCAGTCGGCGGGACAAGCTCAACATGCACAGCCGCTCGCACACAGGCGAGAAGCCACACAAATGTAAACACTGTCCATATGCAGCAGCAGACAGCAGCAGTCTAAAGAAGCACCTGCGTATCCACTATGATGAGCGGCCATTTAAGTGCCAGATCTGCCCTTATGCCAGCCGCAACTCCAGCCAGCTCACCGTGCACCTCCGCTCGCACACTGGTACAAAATCAAAAGTCCAGAGTTGTCAGCATCTGTGGGATGATGTTGTTTTGAAGAGTGCACTGAAAATCTTTTTTTTTTTCCCCCCAAGGGGATGCACCTTTCCAGTGCCAACAGTGTGATGCAAAGTTCAAAATCAACTCGGACCTGAAGAGGCACATCCGGATTCACTCTGGTGAAAAGCCTTACAAATGTGAATTCTGCGAGTACCGCTGCGCCATGAAAGGCAACCTGAAATCTCACATTCAGATCAAACACGGCACTGAGAACTCCTTCCACTGCGTGCACTGCGATTTCAGATGTTCCAACAAAACTGCTCTGCGGCAGCACTCACGAGAACACCAACCCACTCAACCCATGCAGTGTTCCAAGTGCACTTACTCTTGCTCCAGCAAGGGGGCGCTCAAAGCCCATGAGAGGATTCATTCGGAGGAGCGCCCCTTTAAATGTGACTTCTGCAGCTTTGCCTCCAAGCAGCGCAGCAATCTTGTCATTCACAAGAAGAAGTTCCACTCAGATAAGCCTGACAATGGGAAAGGCAGCAGAAGTGGAGGAAGCAGCAGGGGCAGTGACTCTCCAAAGCGTGCCAGCTCTAGGTATCGGGCCAAACTCGACGCAGCTCGAGCCTTCTGCTGTGACTCATGCAGTGCTTCATTTGTTAGAGAAGACTCTCTGCGGAGCCATAAGAAGCAACACAGAGATGCTCAGAATGTACTGCAGCTCCAGCTCTCCACAACAGCCAGTGCACTCAACTTGATTCCTGTCACAGCGTCGCAGAGCAACACCCAGCTTGAAGTTCCTATCCCGTCTGATTCTATGTCTCCTTACAGCAGTGCACAGCTCAAAATCATTGTATCTCACCCTCTGGGCCAGGAGAATCCCTTAATCCCAGCCGCTGTGGATAGTCCAAATAAGACCAACATGGTCCTGCTGAGCCCAGAAAACCAGGACATGGTAGTCAACTCCATGATCCAGCAGGTCAACCTGTTGGCTCCGGTGCGACCCCTGGGGTCATCCCAGACTGCAGAAGCCACCCTTGAACACCAAACAGTCCTCTTGACGCAGCTCAGCCCCGAAGACACCCACAACCCGCTCCAGCAGGCCCTGCTGCAGACGGCCATAGGCGCTCAGGACCCCAGCAGCGGCGCACAGACTTTCATTACCACCTGCTCTGAACTGGAGGGTCTCAACGCTTTGATCCAGGACGGTGGCACCGAGGTAACAGTAGTGACAGAAGGGAACACCTCCACCATGACCACAGCGGCTCCAGCCGACATGGTGTGTGGTCCATCGGACGACATGTCCAAGACAGCAGGGGTGGTTACGATCGACGAGAGTGCCTTACCCTGTGAGGAAACTGCATTACTGGTGCCAAATATGGGCCTGGGCAGCCAGAACGTGGTCATCCATGGTGTTCCACTGATTGTGTCCACTGAGTCACAGCAGACTGCAATTGAGCAACTCTCTCCTCACACACTCTATTCAGATTCACACACACTGGAGGGAATCCCACAATGAACAGAGGGTTTGTGTATTTTGCTGTTAAGGTAAAGACTGTAACTTCTTCATAAGCTATTTCTTTGCGAGTAAGAACTCTTAGGTCTAGAGATTGTATATTCATTACCACCTGCCGTTGTACTAGTTTGTAGTAGTTTAATCATTAACAGTTGTAGTAAGAAAATACTTGTTTTTGTTTCAGATTTTAGAATAATTAATTGTTTGTCATAGGACATTGGTTCCACCTATAATGTTATCACATTTAATATTGAATAATTTCTGAATATGAAAGTTAATAATTGGAACATAAAGTTCATATACTGTTTTGTCATGTTGTCCAGTGTCATGTCATCAAAAGTAAAATGTTTATTTTCACACAAAAAAAAACAGAAAAAACCTAAAGTGTGGAAGAATAAAGTTGAAACAAATGCACAGAACTCAAAACTGAATTTTTGGTTCCTGAATTTCTGCAGTTTGTCCATTAGGTGGCAGCAGAATGACAAGAGTAAAGGCTGACGTTTACTCTGATTTGGCAGTCTTGAAGTATTGATTATGCACTAGCTGGGTTTTGTTTGTTTTTTTGTTTGTTTGTTTGTTTTTTGCCAAGTTGCTTTCCCAATAGATTTTTCAATAAAGTGCCTGTTTTGCTTGTGGCTGGCCATTTTTTACACTCATACCTCAGCACTTAGGATTTGCAGAGAGTGAAGGCTGTACCTGAATAGTCTCTTGTGAACAGTTGACCATTGATTTCTCTCCTGTCCCTCAGCACTAATGGCTCTGCTGATGCAGACTCCTACATTTTCTGTCTCAAATGAAGTTGTTTGATGAATTACTCTTTTACCTCAGAGTCAGTTTGTGTTTCCAAAGGGGAACTGTCTTCTGCCAGAAACAAATGGTACACACAACCATCCAACAGTAAAGGAGCATAATGACGGTATCCATCATTTTTTAATACATGTATTGTGTTGTAATGTGCTGTATTATAAGACTACACCTTTTATCTCATGAATACCTTAATTAGTGACACCTGATATTCAATAATAGCCATTAATTTTTTGTGGGTGGCAGTAAATCTGCTGCCAGTGGTGGAATACTAAGTCCTTTTACTCAAATATTGTACTTATGTATAGTTTTAGAGATACTTGCACTCTCCTTTACTTTGCTATATTTAAATGGGAAGTATTGTACTTTTTGATCTACTATATGTATCTGGCAGCTGTGGCTAGTTAGCGGTAGCTAGTGGATTAGAGAAATAGTCTGACATTTAGAGAAACAATTATTTGCTTTCTTGTTTAAAATAAGGTGAGTAAATTGACTCCACTCTCATATGTGTCCTCCAACCACAGCTGTTTCCCTGTTTTTAAGCTGTGTTAAGCTAACTTAGCTAACTGATTGCTCAGCTATAGCTTCTTTGTAGGCATGATATAATCATTAGAGTGGTATGAAACAACATAATTACTGTAGTTCCCAAAATGTTAAACTGTTACATTAAGGTTCAACATTCAAAACCTGCAGTCAGTTCATAAGCTATAATGAAGTGCTAGTGATTAAACTAAACAAAGTACATAAAGTAGTAGATAAAGTACACAATGCTACTTATTGCATCAATAATACTTTTACTTAACCCTTGTGTTATGCTCATTTTTTGTTACCCTGCCAGTGTCCATAGGTCTGGTGGACCCACAGAATGTTTGGCTTTGTAATTCAACACAATCAAACAAATTTATGTTAAAACACTCAGCAGATGTTTACAATTGCCCTTTACCTTTCTTCGATTACATTTATGAATTAATGTGCTACACTTTTTTTGTTTTTTAATAAAATGTAATAAAGAAAATCAAATGTAATCAAGATGTGAGTGGAAAAAAATCAAGAAATTTACAAATGAAGCAAGATTTTTCACAACAGCTGATTTTTATTTGAACCTCAGAAATTTAACCCATTCAGGACAGTTTACACAACACAAGCTGAACACACACAGTAACCATCACAATCTACACAACACATCAGCCTCATTGAACACATGCCAACCTATACATCACATGAGGGGCAGAGTCTTCTTGAGTGTGTGTTGCATATGTTTATCTTGCAACTGATGCATGTATACTGCGTTTTTCTGTCCTTCTTGGGTCCACACACTCCACAGTGCTTCATTTGGCCGGTGCCGGCCGTGACCTAGAATAATGAAAAGAGAAGGAATTATACTTATCACCTAACACCTCTCTCTCTAGCAAAGCATGAGTGACACAAAAATACTGCAACAGCATCCTACACTTACCTCAGGCTCTGCAGATTGTGGTTCTGTAGGTCCGGTGGATGGGGCACCAGCATCCTCTTCCTGAATCTTCCTCACGATGGCCACAGAGGATGGGGTTCTTGGAACATGTTCTCTTCTGAGGATTTGAGGTCTCACCAGTGCCTTTCCCAGTTCCTCGAGAAAGACGCGCCTCCCCTGGAGCTTCCTTCTGTTCCACTCTGGGTTCAGTGCCATCCAGATGACAAAGGCGTTGTACGCTGAGATGTCCAACATGTCGAAGAAGATCACCAGTGGCCAGCGTAATGTCCTCCTTTTGCAGCTGTAGGTAGTCACCAGCTTATCCATGTTGTCCACCCCTCCTTTTGTGGCATTGTAGTCCATGAAGATCTCTGGATTTTGGCCACAGATTCTCCCATCCCTGTGCAGTGTACTCATGAGCACAACATTCTTGCCTTTCTTTGGCACGTAGGACACCAGGGACATGTCAGCCGTGTACAAAAACTTTGAAGAGTTGACAGGCCTGTTCTCTGTAATCAGCAGTTGGGATGGGAGCTCAGGCTTGTTTTTTCGAATCATTCCCACCATGGTCAGCTTCTTCTTTAGGAGCTCCTGTCTCAGCTTGTGTGAGGTAAAAAAACTGTTGCATGTGATGTTGTGTCCACTGAGTTGCTGAGTCAGGTTGAGGACAACTCTGTTATGTATTTTTAGTCAGATAGATATTGGATAAATACTTTATGTATTAGAAATGTTTAGTGGAGATAGGATGTCTAGTTAGACTGTTAAATGCTTAGTCATGCTTATGAGTTTCTACAGGGTACATCTGGTCAAGGATAACTAGAGAGAAGAGTTGATGACTGTCAGCAGACAGGGTGTTTAATATTATTATTATGACGTGTATAACTGTAGCCTTAGCCATAATAGGTTCTTATGTTTAAGCCACGACATGTTACTAGAGCAGTTTGGAGGTGCAAGATACCTGAGTGTGTAATGTTAATTTTACCTGTGATCCTTTGAATAAATCAGCACTGTTTTGAAGTTACTTGGACTGTCTCGTCTCTCAGAGTTAGCAATGGTAACAAGAACCAAAGACCAACACTGTCCATTAACTAATTACTTAGCTGACTAAGCTCTAAGTTCCAGTAATACTGGTGGTTAAGCACACTGCATGCCAGTGGCACTATGCTCACAAAGCTTCCCCCTGTCCTTTTCAGACAGCATACTCTTATTCAGTTGTTGTACTCAGAAACAAAGTATCATTTGGACATCCAGCTGTGACAGTTTTAATCGGTAGACGTGTCCCTTCCTTACCGAGTGAGACACCCAAGTATTCAGTGAGTGATGTAATGTCCCCCTTTTCCCCAAAGAGACAAGGGCAACAACAGGGGGGAATGCCTCTGTCACATTATTTCCCCCCACTGAGGCGCGCCAGCTGCTTACAGTTGCTTAATGGCTACGAGCTGTCACAGGGCATCACAGCCCGCTGCCACACAGGAGCGGCAGATGCTTTAATTGCACAATGACTTGTAGGTTGTCAGCAGCAATTATACCAGCTTCCACCTGAGGGCACCCAAAGAACACGGTCTACTCCTCACGCAGGTGAGACTCAGGCCTCAGGAGCTGGCAGCTGCACATAAACCTGATCTTAGTCTTCTTTCTGTACAGAGAAGAGACACAGAGAGATTCCAAGTCTCTTTTTAGCTTAATGGTTAAGCCATGTGCTGAAAAGATCTGAGCAGGACTGTCAGACAGCAGGCTCAGGAACCCAAAATCATATTTAGACATCAAATATTAATCCACTGTTGTCACCTTAGGGCCCACTGCTCACCATGCTGCGGCAGGTCGTGGTTTGTAGAGTTTGAGTAATTTTGCTCATTATTAATTCATGTCTTTTTGTTTTTTCTTTGTGATTCAGGGGAAGCTCATTCACCACTGCCAGACCCTCAGTTATTATCACTGGGAGGAAGAAAATAAACCGGTGAGTTCAAAGCTTTGCTGCAACATACTCTAGCCCACATTTGTTCAAGTAGCTTGATGGTGCGTTATATATACAGATCTGAGAAAACACAGTTTAATGTGCTCAAATTTGTGCCCCATTCTATTTATAGGCTCTGATGAAATGATAAACACACACAGTGACCTTATGTTTGTGTCTTGTCCAATCAAATAGCTGAAAGATGTCCCAAGTCCCATGTTTGTTTTGAGCCACAAGACAAATTATACACACTTGTATGAATTCCTTTGGTCAACAGCTGCCATCTCGGTGTCAGATAAAACCAAGAGCCAAAGTCTGGGAACCATTAGATGCCTCCAGCACTCCCATAGTGTACACAAGTGCATATACATAGAGCAAGTGCAGTCACGCTATGCACAAAAGGCGCACATGCTCACACGCAAATCATTGCTATGCTCTTTGTATCTGCCAGCTGATGCAGATGATAGGGCTACAGATGAGTGCAGGCTAACCAGTGACTAGAGGCTACATGTGGTTTCACAGACAATAGCAGGCCTCAGGAGGAGAGCATTCAAACCTAAGAAGCCTGCTGAGATATAAATGAAGATACAGTTGTAACCCTTTTTTTGTAATGTATCATTATTGATAGGCAGTTTTTGTTCAAGTGTTAATGTGGCCGTACTAACAGGTATGTAAATGTGAATGCTATCTTGAGGATGAAAAATTATCATTCTTGTCTCCTAAGTGTATTTTTTAAAATCAAAAATAAATATTTTCAGTGGAGTCTATTATGGCAGGACGGTAGTGTTTTGTAGGTGTCCTGTATTTTGCCATAGTGTCAGCAGGGGGTGTCCAAAATCAGGCTAGAGAGAAGGAGAGACCTGTGTTTGTGTGAAGCAGCTCACCAGGCAGTGCTCCAGTTTGTAGTCGCTGACATTTTGGAACCAGTGGGTCAGCAAAATGGAGAAACCATGGAGATGTATCAAAACCAGTGAGACTTTTGATCATGGGATTGTTGTGTGTAATTTATTGTGGCTCTTTGCAGGGAACTGACCGTTAACATTATTGCACAAGTAGGTTTCAGGTGTTGCTTTCTACTCCCAAGTGGAACAGAGCTGGAAACCAGGGCATGGACTGAATATAGAAAGATCTACAGGCCTAAATCTAAACAAAAGACGTGTGTCTGCGTGCATGTGTGAATGTGTGTGTACTCACGTGCATTTTTCTTGGGTGTGAAATTGTCAATGATGTCATGATGGAGGAGGGAATATTGATAGTTAGACGGATAACAATGAGGCCGGCCTATTCGTGGCCTGCACTCACATGCACACACAGCACACCTACAGACACACACATGGCCAGACACACGGCATCATCATCGTCACAGAGGGAGCAAGGCTCATAATTGGACAGAGGTGTCTGTAGATAATGAAGCCAGACCTCACACCTGCCAAACCTTGCGGATTTCACTTGACTGGCCACTTAAATCTTCCTCACTCTGCGGGTCTGGAGGGCAAGAGAGTGAGTAAGAAACTAATGGGGGAAAAAAAGCATGCGCTACAGGGAGGATCCCTGTCAGCATGAGTGTAGCGTGGACCCCCCTCCCCCCAGCTTCCCATCCCACCTACCTCAGCCCCCACAGCTCGTTCCATACTGCACCCACCTCTCTTCACTCCACTGTAAATCCTCTGGTGTCAAGGATTTCAGACAGAAAATGGGGAAATGCTGCACCAGCTATTTTGTTTCAAACTCTCAAAACACTCGCTTCTCCCAAGTTGTCTTTGGTGACAGCGTTGTGTGCGAGAAGCGTATTGTGCCAGCTTTTAGTGGGGTGTCATTCGAGGTGCTGAAAGGGAAATCAGATAGACGCTCAGCGGAGAAATACTTCTATATAGAAAGTTTACCTGACAGTTATCAGTGAAGGTGTGACACTGTATCAGTGCTAGCAAAACCGTACACCAATTAGGGAGCGAGTTTACCCTAGCGAAATCTTAATGATTTATGAGAAACAAAGTGGAATTTCACTCATCTTTATTGTAAGTTGATCCATAGGTGGAATCACTTGGAAGGTTAAGATTAGAACAGCAGTACATAAAAGTCTATTTTATTCTACTGTATTCTATTCTAGAAATACACAGACAGGAGCGAGAGACAGCTGAGTGGTACAGTATCACTCTTTGTTAGCTTGTCATGAAGTCAGTCATGTCAGCTTTTACATATGTGCTTGTGTCTGCTGTCAGAGGGTTAGAGTGATACAGTAAATGGTAAGAATCAATACCTTTGTAGTGCTAACAGTCACAAAGACAGGCTGGTAGCGTGGCTTGTGGGTTAGCTGGATCCACGCAGCCTGGGTATATCTGTTGTATTTTAATCTTTATGCTGCTGATATTGGATATAAAGGATAAACAGGTGCTTGTCAAACTCTGCTGTCTGCTACCGAAAGTCAAGCCATGTGTTAATGCTTTGACTTTAGGGCTAAAGTAAGGTTACCTGGAGAACCTCAGTTTACTTCTCAGTGCTTAGAAACAGAGATACAGTACAGAGGCAGCAGTGGTCCCTGTTGGACAGTTACATGCACGTCTGTATGTGCAAACAGAGAAGTGGCGAGGCGTCAGTGGAACTGTGTATGACGCACTCAAATTGGTGGGTTTGTTGGAAGATAAGGACGTAACTTCCCAATATTCAATTGTGTGCAAAATCTGAATGATTTCTAAAATCATTCCCTTTTCACTGGAGCTTTCATTCAACATGAAAGGAGCCAGAAAACCCAGCAAAGGGTAGTAGAATAATCATGGCGGCATTCAGATGAATTTTCCAGTGTCCAGGCCAGGTGGGAAGGAAAACGAGTCCAGGTGTCTCACCTGGCCTGTGACACCCATGAGGAAAACAGCAAGAAGCACTAGCCTCTGTGGAGATGGATAGTATCACATGTCCACCTGGAGCTTGAGCTCTAAGTGCTGTGCATACTGAGGTGCTAGCTCACCTCATCTTCCGCTGTGATATATTATAGATGGACAAAAAGCTGTGTGAGCACAGCCAGTTTTAGGAAATGTGCTGTAACTGTAGACCCTGGATCATCACCGGCCCATCCTCTACCAGCTTGCGCTGCCACACAGAGACACTTTTAGTAGTTGGGCAACATTTGCTAATGTGGATCTTCTTTCCAAATCGCAGTGATAAGCAACACTGAAATAAAATCACACGGAAACCAGAGGCTTATCAAGATGCAACTGTGTGATAATACAAGAATTATCCATCACCATCCGTCATGTATTTGTTTGCAGGAAACACATTACATGGATCTTAATTGAAATATTATTTTACCTTCATTTGAATTATTTATGACGCTGCTGACTAGATTTATACCTTAGAGAAAAACATGAACACATTATGTGATGCAAGAATGTGTGTGTGCATGTGAGCATTTCTCATATATTATTCAAAGTGTAGAGTCAGAATATGGTCTTACGTGGCCATATGAAGGATATCAAAGGGCCTGTCTTTGATACAATTTTCTTGCGATCCACTGGCCAGAGCTGAGCTGTCCGTTGGCCTACCGCTGCTAATGAGATCGAGGGATACAATTGAGAGTGGTGGGCTGGCTGTCATCCGCTAGGTGATGGTCTTAAGACTAAGCAGTGATACTTCATTAATTAACCTTCACATTCTATGTAGATCTGCTCATCAAGATGCAGTTAATTAAAGAAAGGTCATTCCAAGGGCTGCTGGGAAGCGGCATTATTACAATGGAGGGATGGCACTGCTTCGAGCGAGATAACACAGGGGAGGGGGGCAGGGAGGAGGCGATCACCCAGTCACTGCTGAAATGGCAGACGACTTGCCAAAGCCGCTTTCTGAACTCCTGACTGTGGGCCACCTTAGTTTTGGGAAATGTGTATTTTTTTTGTTGTTTATAGATTTTATTTCTTACGTTCTCCTTTTTTTTCCTGTAGAAAGATTCTGTTGAAAAGCTCTAATGGAGAAAGCCTCAGTAAAATATTCATTACACTCAATTGACAGCATCTATCTTTTAGCATAGCTTTTCTCTTGTCTTTGCAGCTCTGTGTCTTCCCTTCCAATGTACTTTCCCAGATCTTGCTCAGTGTACAGAAAAAATGCCATCTTGAGTAAATAAAAGGAGAGGAATTCACCGGGATATGAAATAGTTATGTGTCATCTGTGGGCGAACTCAACTTCTGGGTGGTGACCTATTCATTTTGACTTCTATCAGACTGTGTTTGTCACTATCTGCTAAAGTAGGACTCAAAATATTTAGTCTTATATATTCTGTTCCCTCTTAGGCTCTTATCAATCAGGATTGCAGGACAGAGATGATTAGAGAAGCTTAGTATGTGATAATGTGTTTGTAGAACTGCATCTTGGCCGGTCACACCAGTGAGATCAGACTTAGTGTTACAAATGGCTTTCCATAATTTTTTGCCAAGCTTTATTTTGTGATCATGGCACCCCTCCTCTCAGCGCTGTCTTGTTTGGAACCCTGATGCCAGTTTTTCACAATGTTGCTGTACTGCAAAATTGTAGCGAGACATCAATGCCTCCCATGTCCACTCAGTCCTCCCGTAGTTATCCCTGAGTGTCTTTTGGCATTGCTTCCACTGACAGGTGTAAAGACAAATGAGAAAGGGTGTGCTAGTGTGCACACACACGCATTCAAGTGTGTGTGCGTATATAGCCCTCCCACCCCACTACAATACAGTAACTGCTGACCCTGGACACAGTGCCATTATGGCAGACGAGGCAGGGCTCCCTTGGCAGTGGCTGGGGCGGCTGGTTGCTAGGTGGAGAGACATTACCGCGGGCCTCTGCAATAATTTATCCTAAGAGCGCGGCGAGCCGTCATGTAGCCCCTGACAGAGAGCTGCAGTACTTTATCAGCCTGCCTGTAAATCAGCCATGTGTGGGTGCAGACGGCAACATTGTTTGATCTCTTTCAGACACTCTAATAATCTGCTCCCCTCTGATTGATACCTTCACACAACAAAGCACATTACACCACCAAACCA